GCATAACTGGAAGAGAAAGGATGGATTACAATGAGTCCAGTTTGTGTGGGGGCATGACTTCATCAGCTTCTACTTGGTCTATCAAGTGTGAGAGTTGTGCTAACTCACCACGCAAGTGACGCTTCAATAGATGCAACAGTTCTCTCAAAACTGCACACCATTATAAAAAAAAGTATAAAATACACAATAAAATGGCATTTCAAAATTAACACGGATAAACACAATGTGGGCAAGAAAATATGTTAAAACAGGAAATGGAATAAAAAAAAGTCTTCAGTTGTGTAAGCCTACGCACATTCATCGAACTTTTGCCGCTGATCGGAGAGGCGCATCTTGATGGCCTGCAGCTTCTTGGATCCCAGGCTCTTGAGCGAAGCTAGGCGGGCCCTCGTGGCGGGCAAAATGCCATCCATGCTGCCTGCTGGCAGTTGTTGCTGCTGCTGAAAGCGGACGCCTCCCTGCTGCTCGCCAGTTTGCCGAGCCACTGCCTCACTGTAGGAAGGTGGCGCCGGCGGTGGTGGCACATCTGCAGTAGCATTTGCCTCTGTGGACCGAGCCGGGACGGAGGAGGATGGGTCGGCCGCTTGACTGCTGCCCGCAGCAGCATCCTCGCTGGACGGCGGTGGTGCGAAGACATCCTCCTCCAACTGGCTGCTGTCTGAGGCCGGATCGGAGCTATTGCTCTGGCGGGCACCCGTCACAGCACTTCCCTGCTGCTTTCCCTGCACGGACATCACGATCTGCCAGGCTCCTTCGCGTGTCGTGGGTGAACTGTCCCCGGGATACACGTACTTAATAGCTTTCTGCTCCAGCAGGAGCTTGTATTGCTGCTTCAGTGAGGAAGTTATCTGAAAGCAGAAAACCGAAGTCAGTTAGTGATTAGATTTGTGTTAGATTCAGTTGGAGATTCTTACCAACAGCATGACGCCATCGTAGGCCTTGTCCTTGCAGATAACCAGACGCATCACAGATCCGTTCTCAATGGCAGTGCTCGCAATCATGGGGCAGTTGGGACTCAGGCCCACAAAGCAGATGGAACCATCCGAGTAGCCAATGATGGCCCTGTTCTGGCCGCTGTTGGTCTTCCACCAGACGACGGACAGCGGATAGGGGCAGGTCTTGGAGGCCATGAACGAGGTGGCCATCACCTGGCTGTTGCCGGTGGCATCGATGGGCTGCTGCTGCTGCTGCTGCTGTGGCTGTGCTTGCGGCACTGTCTCCCCCGCTGTCTCTGATCCGCTATTCCGCACCAGCATGTGCTCGGGCAGATCGTGGCCCAATGGTTCCTCCTCCTCCTGCTGCTGCTCCTCCTCCTCCTCCGCCTGTAGTCTGACTTCCTCCAGCTGGTCGGCCAGCTGATCCACCGGCTCCACCGTTGGCTCGCCGAGACCCGCCGAGTGATTGGGGCACTTCTTGGAGTTGGGGCACTCGTGCGGACCCACAAAAGGTATGATGTAGGAGGTGACCTGAGTGGTGCTGTACGAGGAGCAGGAGGCCAGGCCATGGCTCTTGTCCACCAGCGCCAGGGCGGGCACAATGTGCAGCGTGTTGTCGAAACCTGTTGATGGACGATCCAGCCAGTGGTGAGAAAGGTGTACCCATCGCCCATCGGGCGTTAAATCAAAACGGAGGAGGAGGCAACAGAAAATCAATATGCACACACGCACACATGCGGGCAAAGTGATTTTAGCAGCACTCCCCCCCCAAACCGAAAGTGGGTGGTACTTACATAGCACCAGCAGCCAAGTGCCCGCCGGATCGAAGCAGACGTCGTGGATGACGCGGTTGCGGAACCAGGATATCATCTTGACCACCTCCTGGCCGGAGGAGGCGCTGATGTAGCGCAGCAGGATCTCGTTGTCCTCGCTGACCAGGCACAAAAACTGCTTCTCGTCCAGACCCGCCGTCACCGCGGACAGCTTGCAGCTGAGGTTGGTGACCAGCGGGCGCAGCTCGAACATGCCCAGCTCCTTGAGTTCCGCGTGCCCCGACATCTCGAGGGGATTCGCGGTCGTGGGAGCGCACTATTGCAATTTTAATTCACAAAATCAGTGCAGAGCAAGGAGCTTTTTCCCCCAGTTTCCGAACGAAAACAAACTAGAGGTGGGCGCGTGAGACCTGCTCTTGGTCTGGCAACGCCTGTGTCACGCAACAATTTTCCAATTGGACTCCGATTTTCTGCTCTTTTCAGATCAAAACCTATGTTATTGGGAGAGCGCGGGCTCCTTTTGCACTGCTTAACTTGCGAAGACTGGAAAAATCGCAAAAAAAAAAATTAAATACGAAAGTGCCACAAACGTCTGGCAACGCCACAAGTGCTGCGCACAAGTCTTCACTTTTCAGGCTGCCTAACTTTTTGCCCCTGATTTTTCACCAGCAGCTCGATTTGTTAGTAGAAGCCACTATTTTTTACACCCTTTTGGGTGGTTTTCACACGCGGAAAACCTGCGGTAAACACAAATCAAGGCGAAACGTCGTGCCCGATGGCCAGAGCTGCAGCACTGAAAACATCTGATTGGCAAACTGGAAGGGGGGATAGGTGGCAGCACTGTAATTTTTCTCGTCAAACGGTCACACTCTACCAGCAATCGAAAATAACGGCGGGAATCGGCGGCGTCGCTTGTGTGGATATCAACAACGTTAATTCAATTGATAAAAGCAATTGCAAGTGTTTGGACGAGTGAAAAATTATCTCTAAAATTAAGTAAAATCCACTTGATAATGGAATCTCGGTTGCCGAAACCGTCGGCCCTGAAAAGGCCCCAGATGCCGGTTAAAACCGTGCTACCCACAGATCGCATTCGCGCAGGAGGTCCTGCAGGATCGAGTTTGGGATTAGGAGGAGGAGTTGGTGCACCTGGTAGTACTTTCAATGCCAACCAAACGTACTGCGGCAACTTGCTGCCGCCGCTGTCGCGCGACCTTAACAATCTGCCGCAAGTTCTTGAGCGCCGCGGTAAAATAGGTAAGTACATTAGGCCCTTCTCGAAAGGACTTCCAACTAATCTTGTTTTCTGTGCAGCACGTGCAGCCTCGCCCGAACCCATGAAAGTGGGCAATCGGGCTAAGCTAAGACGCAGCAGGAGCGCCTGTGACATCAACGAACTGCGCGGGAACAAGAGGACCGCTGCCGTTCCCACATTACCCAGCATACCCAGTAAAGTTTCCCGTATGGCCAGTACAGTCACTAATCCCAGCCAGCGAACTGCACGGCCAGCGGTCACCGCCACTGCTGCTCCTCCCAAAAGAGCGCCGGTAACGCGTCCTGGTCCTTCTCGGGCTGCAGCGCCAGCAGTTAGCAAAGCCAAACCAGCCGGAACTGCAGGAGCAGGAGCAGGAGCATCCAGCACAGGAGCAGGAGGAGCATCCGCCACAAAGCGCATTGCCCCCTATGACTTCAAAGCCCGCTTCCATGATCTGCTGGAGAAGCACAAGGTGCTGAAAACCAAGTATGAGAAGCAGATAGATGACATGGGCGAGCTGGAGTCCATGCCCATGCAACTGGAGGAGACGCAGGCAAAGCTGATCGAAACGGAGACCACGCTGAAGAACACCCAGACGGACAACGAGTGTCTGCAGAGGCAGGTGAAGCAGCATACCAAGAATATCGAGACCATAACTTCCACCCTGGGCAGGACTAAGGAGGAGCTCTCCGAACTGCAGGCAATACATGAGGTGGGTTATATTATTGACAACAAAACTACAAAACCTTTAACTTAATATTGTAATTACAGAAAATAAAAACTGAGCATGCTGCTTTGACCACAGAAGTGGTACATTTGCGCCAGCGCACCGAGGAATTGCTGCGCAGCAATGAGCAGCAGGCCGCCGAACTGGAGACCTGCAAGGAGCAGTTGTTCCAGTCGAACATGGAGCGCAAGGAGCTGCACAACACGGTGATGGATCTGCGCGGCAACATTCGGGTCTTCTGTCGAATACGACCGCCGCTGGACTGCGAGGAGAACCGCATGTGCTGCACCTGGACGTACCACGACGAGGCGACCGTGGAGCTGCAGAGCATTGACATGCAGGCCAAGAACAAAATGGGCCAGCAGATCTTCTCGTTCGACCAGGTCTTCCATCCGCTCTCCACCCAGTCGGACATCTTCGAGATGGTCTCGCCGCTCATCCAGTCGGCGCTCGATGGCTACAACATCTGCATCTTTGCCTACGGCCAGACGGGCAGCGGCAAGACCTACACCATGGACGGAGTGGCCGACAGTGCGGGCGTCATTCCGCGCACGGTGGATCTGCTCTTCGACTCCATCAGGGGCTATCGCAATCTGGGCTGGGAGTACGAGATCAAGGCCACCTTCTTGGAGATCTACAACGAGGTGCTCTACGATCTGCTGAGCAACGAGCAGAAGGACATGGAGATACGGATGGCGAAGAACAACAAGAACGATATCTATGTGTCCAACATAACGGAGGAGACTGTCCTGGATCCCAATCATCTGCGCCATCTGATGCACACGGCCAAGATGAACCGGGCCACCGCCTCCACGGCTGGCAACGAGCGCTCCTCCCGCTCCCATGCCGTTACCAAGCTGGAGCTCATCGGACGCCACGCCGAGAAGCAAGAGATCTCGGTGGGCTCCATAAACCTGGTGGATTTGGCCGGCTCAGAGTCTCCCAAGACGAGCACCCGCATGACCGAGACGAAGAACATCAATCGATCGCTCTCCGAGCTGACCAATGTGATCCTGGCGCTGCTGCAGAAGCAGGATCACATCCCGTACCGAAACTCCAAGCTCACGCACCTTTTGATGCCCTCGCTGGGCGGCAACTCGAAGACCCTCATGTTCATCAACGTTTCGCCGTTCCAAGACTGCTTCCAAGAGTCCGTCAAGTCGCTGCGCTTCGCCGCCTCGGTGAACTCCTGTAAAATGTCCAAGGCCAAGCGGAATCGCTACCTAAACAACTCGGTGGCCAACAGCAGCACGAACAGCAACAGCAGTGGCAGTTTCGATAAATAAAGAACAAGTCTGGTTCCCAGTCTCTTAACAATTGTCAAATTTTCTAACTTGTTATTGCTTAACTTATGTGTTTACTTTAAGTGCAAATAAACTAATAAAGTGCTGGAATCGAATGGCATCTCACTTGGCTCCCACTGCCGCCCGCACCTCGGCGGGTATCTTCTCCACCAGTTCGGCATGGTTTTGTCCCAGGCTGGCCAGCACTCCCTGACGATTCACGTGCTCCACATCCGCGTGGTAGGCGTAGTGCTCGCCATTGATGTTGGTCAGGGTGCCGCCTTGGGCCTCCAGCACCGCCTCGGGTGCGCAGGTGTCCCACTTCTTGCAGCCCGGCGTGGCAAACACGTAGGCATGGGCCTTGCCCTCCAGAAGCTGCAGCACCTTAAAGCCGGCGCCTCCCACTTTCAGGACCTCTGTGGATGCGTAGGCATTTAGAGCCTGCTGGTGCAGGGCATTGGAATGCGAGCGAGTGGTGGTTATGATGAACTGGCCGGCTGGTGCGGGCACCGCTGTGAATCCTCCCGTGCCCAGACCCTTGAGACCCCAGATAGTGCGGCCCAGTTCGCCGTCGGGCTGCTTGTAGAAGGGCTGATGGATGATGCCGCCCACCGCAGCATCCTTGACAGCTATGCCAATCAGTACGGTGACGTGCTCCACATGTCCTAAGGGGAAACACTTTAATGACGATAGTGTATCGGAGATCTCTAGATCTTACCCTGTGTGTACTCCGCTGTGCCGTCCAGGGGATCCACCCATATCACAAAGTCCTCGGGCTTCGCATCCTTCCACTCCGCCGGACAGCTTTGCTGCAGGAATCCTTCATCCAGCTCGGTGACCAGCCAATCGTCGCAGACGTTCAGATCGGAACCTCCTTCCTCGCCAATGATCTTCACTGTTGGAAACTTTTTAGCCAGCGAAGCAATGATGCAGCGCTGGGCGGAGCGATCTGCCTCCGTTTGGGGATCATTCTTTCCCTTGTCCACTATACCCAGGTCGCCTTTTTTGAGCACATCGCGGATGATCCCGCCAGCCCGCTTGGCCGTGCTTATCGAGGACGCCATGACTCGCATGATCACCGGAGCAGTAGCAGCCATCTTTATCTTATTTGTTTTCAGATATGGATTGGATAAGGGAGATCTTTTCTAGATTGGAATGGGTTTGGGATGTGTTCACCGCTGCCGTCGAATGATTACGGTGAAAGTACAACAGCTGAGTGCGGCTAGAGAGGAGCAGAAACCGCTAATTATCGTATGTGGGAGTAAGTTGCCGATATTTTATTTTTACCGATATAATTATTACTAAATTTTTAATTTACAATGCTTTATCAATTGAAATCTTGTAAGGAACCTTGTTTTATTAAATCTTGTAGAAACATCAAACTTTAAATAAGGGGGTACTAATAATAACAAATATGATTTTATAAGTTAACGTAAATTGAATAAGAAAAAGCCACATACAAAACGGAGACTATTTTGAAATCATTTTGAGGCACGAGTCAAAAAATAAATTTTAATTTGTTGCCTTTTATGTTGTTATGAAAATTTTTGAAATTCAAATATATTTTTTAATACAAGTTTTGTTTCCGTTTCTAGCTTTTTCTGGCCATAAATATCAATCGGCTAAGTAGTCTGGCAACGCTGTAGGCACACAAGACCTTTGGACCACCCGCTCCCCCGCCACCCACAAATCAGTTCGTTTCCATCTTGAAGAGGTAAGTTCTTGAAATTAATAAAGTAGAAGATATTCTTTAAATAATAAATACATTTTGCAGAAAATGGCACGTGTTTTGGTTGGAGTTAAGCGTGTGATTGACTACGCCGTCAAGGTGAGCTTTTAGAAACAGCCTGTTGCGTTGTACATCCCATTTTTTTTTATCACTTGTTGCGCTCCGTTTTGCGTAATCGCTTTAATTAAATGGCAATTAAAGTAATTCCGATCCTTTTCCCTTGTCCAGGTGCGCGTCAAGCCCGACAAGACCGGCGTGGTCACCCAGGGCGTGAAGCACTCGATGAATCCCTTCGACGAGATCGCCGTGGAGGAGGCGGTGAAGCTGAAGGAGAAGAAGCTGGCCGAGGAGGTGATCGCCGTCTCCGTGGGTCCTACTCAGTCGCAGGAGGTGATCCGCACGGCCCTGGCCATGGGTGCCGATCGTGGTGTCCATGTGGAGATCCCGGCTGCAGAATACGAGCTGCTCCAGCCCATCCACGTGTCCAAGATCCTGGCCAAACTGGCGCTGGACGAGAAGGCCGACCTGGTGATTCTCGGCAAGCAGGCCATCGACGACGATGCCAACCAGACGGCTCAGATGACCGCCGCCGTGCTGGACTGGCCGCAGGGCACCTTCTGCAACAAGATCGAGAAGACGGACGCCGGTCTGACCATCACCCGTGAAATCGATGGCGGTCTGGAGACGATCAAGACCAAGATACCCGCCGTTCTCAGTGCCGATCTGCGCCTGAACACGCCGCGTTATGCCACGCTGCCCAATATCATGAAGGCCAAGAAGAAGCCGCTGAAGAAGGTGACGGCCAAGGATCTCGGGGTGGACATCTCGCCGCGCATCGAGGTCGTCTCCGTGGAGGATCCTCCGGTGCGCCAGGCCGGAGCCACTGTCGCCGATGTGGACGCCCTGGTGGCCAAGCTGAAGGAGGGCGGCCACATCTAGATCCCCCTTATCAACTAGCAAATTGTGAGCGAAAATTCTACGTTTTTTATTAGTTGAAGTTATCAGAAACGTGCATTTATCCAGCCAGGCTTTAAAATTCTACCCATCCCCCGTGTGCTTTAAGTGAAATCTAAATTGGAATTTATTTTCGTTGTGTCCAGCTGTAAGAATAAAGTGATTGTAGGCTCTGAAATCGTACAGCAGGGTCAGCCAATGACTCGTCTCGTCTATTTTTCTCTGTCTGCCGGTGGTGATGCCTTTTCAGGAAATCCCGCTCAACTTGACGCCCCAAAAAACGGGCAACAGGGTCAACACCCAATGGTCATTGATTTTCCATTGTTTTCGATCGTTTTTTATTAGCGGTAAACTTGAAAGGAAAACATTTGCTAATGTGTATTATATAAGAGTACAAAATGGTATAAAGAGGATAGTGTATATGTTGTTCATAAAATTTTCAACTACAGACTACGTTTGTTTTTGTTTTGGACGATCATGACACACATGCTTATTATATATAGATATTTATGTGTATACACATTTTAAAAAGAGAGTAAATCGGTCTAAGGTAGATATAGATAAGGGTGGGTAGACTTTCCTGATTACAAACTGAAGAGACAAAATGTATTTGTGGGGTAAATGCAAGCAATTTGTTCTTAGATTAGATTCAAATGACAATTTTGAATTTCGAGATCGTTTTTTTTAACTAGGCAAGTCAAATAAATAAATTTTTATTGTTTGGCCTAAATACTTATAGTTCAATTTTGTATATGGCAAAATTTTGAAAGCCTCTTTCATATCTTATCTTTATAAATTTACCCACCCTACTGTTAATTAAGAACGGCAAATGCGGCCATAGTAAACGCCAATTAAAAGATACATTGTGCTTAAATAAAATAAACGGGCAGTAGATAAGGTTCTATTGTTCATAGCGTCCAATCTTGTCAAGCTCTTGGCCAGGCTAAAAGTGTTTTTGTGAAAAAATATGCAGCTTTGACCGATAGCCAATAAATGTTTATCATTATTGCTAGTACTACCCCTTTCCTCTTCTATCACACGCCGCGTCGTAGCCAGCGCCCAATCCACACCAGTAGCCATCAAACCCGTCCAGCTGGAACCGACTGCTTGTCGCGGAAATGCAGAATGCGCGTCAGCATGGTGGTGATGCAGGGGATCTGCTTCTGCTGGTGCATCTCCGGGGTGTCCGGGGTGCAGGACTCAAAGTCCACGGCCACGCGTTGGCACACGAACGTGAGCAGCGTGAGGATGTCGAGCCGTTTGCCATTGGCCGCCAGTTCGGCGCACAGGCTCTGCATGAACCAGCTGCCGCGGGTGGTGTTGCGCCACGAATAGAAGCCCGGAACGGTGGAGTAGGCAATCAGGAAGTCGGCGTGCACGGGTATCTTGTAGCTCATCGACGAGTCGCCATCCGTCTCCGTTTGGCTGCGCTGCATGGTCACTCCGCCGTCCAGTCGATCGCCCTGACAGGCCTGGATGAAGAACAACTTGGGCTTGCCGGCCAGCGAGGGACAATGGTTGGCCGTGAAGAAGCTCCAGATGTTTTCCAGCTTGTACTGCGTGTCCTTGGCATAGATGTAGCCCATCTCGCCGTGCGACAAGATGGCCACCAGGATGCAATCACTGTCAGCATGATTCTGCGAGGCTGCATACTCAATCGTTCGCAGGATGTCCTTGTAGCGGCAGTCCTTGTACACCGTCACCTCGAAGTCCAGCTGCTTGAGCACACGGGTGAGATTCTCGCAGTCCACGTTAGTTCCTGCCCGGGATTTTAGAGTGGGCACCTCGAAGTGCTCATGGTTGAAGATCAGGGCCATGCCGCGATTCTTGTGGCGCATATTGTACTCGGCTGCATGGCGATCGGTGACCATTTTGGCCACATTCTTGCGGTAGCTGGAGGAGGGTGAGCTGTACCCGTTGGCCAGCTGCCCGATGGCTCCGGTGCCATAAGGATGCGAGGATCCTGTGACCAGTACGCTGTTGCCCGCTGAACCCGCGGAACCCAGGGCATCGGTGTGATCGTCCGGATTAGAATCCACCCTTATTCCCACCTGATCCCCGGATTCTCCATTGTTGCTGGCGTCCATGACGAAATTCCCTCCTTGAGCCTGTAAAAACTGATGAGTCACAAACACTTCGAAACTGGTTTTTCAAATTCCGTAAAAAACTAAACTGCACGACTGCGGCAAAAGTGCTAAGTTCTGGGGAAAAGCCGTGTTTACGCGCAACAAAGACAACTAGTGATTAACTAATTATTTAGTGGCTTTGCTTTATTCTTCAAATTAGTATGACCGCAGATGAGCAGTTAAAATTATCCCATATAGCGCCTGAATTAGGGATGAGACTTTCAAGTCGTGTCACGAAACGGAATTTGTACAAGCAAATTTGTACATCGAATGTTTGTTTTAAGGATTTTAATGTTAAAAAGGGTTTTATAAACTCTGTTTTATCAGTGATCAGAACCTGTCCAAGTTCTTAGTATTTATCTTGTTTCTAAATGCATAAATTTATAACATAAACAACATTTAGACATATAAGAGCATTTTGCGCGCTTAGTCTGGTTTAAAATAACAATCAAATAAAATTAGCCAGAGCTGTGTTAAAAACTAACGCAGCATCTTTGGACAATTTCTTTCAGTGTAAAAACACCCTTGTTTTCAGGAAAACAAAATCGTCCTTTGTTTTGTTGTTGCGTGGGACCGCAGCATACTTTTTAAAAAATCCGGCAATATACCAAAAAATACACGAAAATACTGCCATCTGCGCGGCCACACTATCAGAAGGTTTGAGACGCACTGTTAAAATCGTTGAATTGTTCCATTTTGTTTAAAAATAAAGAAAATTGCCAATGTTCTGGACACCAGAGCATGTGGAGAGCATGCTGGATGTGCTCAAGACCTCCACAGATCGAACGGTCATTTACAAATGCCTGGTGAAACTGCGCACCGATCTGGTGAAGGACAAGAATGGCATTGTTTTATTTCGCACTGCTGGGGGCGTTCACATCATGGTGGGTTTGCGGTTTGGCAGCCACTGCCTTGCACCACATAGGATCGTGATTCAAATCGATTTTTAAATGTTAATTATTTGCGTCTTCAAGGTTCGTTTGATCACCAAGCTAAATGAAAAGATAATGGAGGTGGTCTTGAGCATACTAGGAAACTGCTGCACTGACGAACAGGCCTGCATTGAGGTGAGAATCAAGCTGTCCAAGCAATATATTAACTATTAGGTTTAAATTAGTATTTAAAAAAATGTATTAAGTTAAATTATAAGGTAATACTTTTTATGATCTTAATTTGTATTTCTCACCTTTTTCACTTGACAATTATGCTTTAAAAACCATATAAGTAATAAACTAAATTTATAAACATAGAACATATTTTACAAAATTTATATATTACAAATTATAACATCAGGTTATAAGTTTATATCTGCAGGAAATAAATTGTTTAATATATCATACCATCATATATTTTTAATAGACATTATAAAATGTTTTCAATGTTATTTTTGCCTCTAGAAATTCCACTTTGAGTTTAAAAATTTTAAATAACTCCCTTTTATAAGATTCTAAAAAACTGTTTTTATTTTTAGAAAACCAATAAAAAACACTCGTATATTAACAACTTGTTTTCCGCTTTCCAGGCCGTTGAATGCAAGGTGATTCCCCCGCTTGTGACCATTCTCAAGACCATACCCAATCCTCTGATCCAATGCCGCGCCTGCCGGATGCTGGGAAACCTGGCCAAAAGCAAGAAGGCATCCCAGTATCTCAACGTTCACTACGCCGCCATTGCCCCGGCCATCTGCCACATCATCGAGTCCACCAGCGCCGTGCAGACCCGCATCATGGCCTTCCGCGTCTGCCGCTTCCTCCTGGCCAGCAGCCAGTTTCTCAAGTACTTTCTCGTCTCCAATGGGTTCCTGCAGCTAATGCGCATCTTCCTGGCCGTGATGAAGAACAATGAGGCTCCCAAGGAGCCCGTCCCAGACATCGAGGTGTCCACGCTGATTGGCCTGAAGCGGAACCAGCACCGCGAGAAGTACTTCGAGGAGGTGGCCCGAAATTTGGAGGGTGTCCGCAGTGACATCTTCGACTACCAGATGCTCAAGAACGCCACACGGAACTGTGACTATGCTCTGCCCAAGGAAAATGAGGCGGCTGTGGAGCTGGCTCTGGAGATTTTAAAGTGTCTGGTCCTGATTTCAGCTCAACAGATTGGCATGAAAGCTTGGGAGGTGAGTCTTTTTAATCGTTAGAAATTGAAATAAATTTGTATAAATATATTTAGTTATAATCAGCATAACAAGGAAAAATATTTATAGCTTCGGCATAATAATCGAATATATAATTTTTGTAACCAACTGTTAATACTCAAATATTCAATGTCTTTTTCTTTAGTCCATTTCCCGCAACACTTCGCTGGCCTCGATTGTGTGCTTCGTGAAGGAGGACGGCGATCAGCGGGCTTCGGCCCTAAAAATCCTTTCGAACTTCTGCAAGGATCCCTGTGCCTTCTACATGCTGAGCACGGCGGATGCCATTGTGGCCGCCTGCGAAATGCTCATGGCGGTTAACATGGCAAAGCCACTGAACGAAAGCGAAAATCGGCATTGCATTAACATCATATTGACGCTATCGACGGATGCCTGCAGTCGCTCGAAGATCCGAAGATGTGGAGCACTGCGCAAACTGGTGGCCATGATAAGGGACTCCAATTCCCAGAGCGAGCGTTCATCGGTGGGTCTAGTGCCTGACTAAATGCCAGCTTAGTCAGATTAATGGTAATCTCTCCTATTCAACAGCTTTTCCACATACTCAACAACTTTCAATATGACAACATAAGCATGGAGCTACTGCTATATGAGGGCTTGGTGCCCATGCTGGTGAGGGAATTGAATGATTACCTGACCAGCGATGATGAGCATCACAAACGTAGACGAGAGGAGAGGCTACAAGGTGGCAAGAAGAGAAAACTGACGGATCCCACAACGCCAGAGACGCTAAGCAAGGTGGGTAGAGTGGTTAAATTCATTAATTTAATTACTATTAACTTATGATTTTTTCCTCTCAAAGTTCTCAAAGACCCACGAGACCTCGGACTTTGACTCGCCGAGCAGTTCACCCAGGTCTTATCGCACCACCAGTCCGTGCAGTTCGCGTAGCATGTCGCCGGTGTGCAAAGATCTGCTTGCAAATGATGACGACGACAACTATTCACCGGCCTGCAGTGACGACGACGACGAAGACGAGGATGACAGCACATATACTGGCAGTGGGGATACTAGGGATCGCCGCGCAGCCGCCAATCGTGCTCAGGCCTCGAATGTCTTGGACATATTGAAGCTAATCGACGAGGGTAGCGAGCCCATAGATGATCCGCTGTCCGACAAAGAGGATCTCGAGGAACTCAGCTCGGATGTGCCGCCCAAGCTGGCCCAGTTCCGCAATCAAGCAGGCGACACCATCGACATTATCGAGAATCTAATTTATCGCATTACGCTGATGGTCAACAAGCGAGTGGAGCTGGGAAAGCCAGAGACATTGGACACCCTGATCAGAGCCATCAACCTATTTGGGGCCAACAATAATTTCTCCAATGCCCTGACCAATATTCTACTGTGAGTTGACATGGCAAACTAGAGAATCTAATGTAATGGTTAATAATCAAACCTTTTGCAGGGAGAGCCAGTTTTTTGCCCAGATCATCAAACATGGCGTGGTGCATCAACTCTATCAGCTAACCAAGGTGGAAGAGGTGTGTTATAAACTTATTTCTTAGTGATTAGGTTTTATAGACCCCCTAATTTAATTTTTAGATGCGCAAGGATGGCTTTGCCTTTTTGGAAACCCTAACCAATGTGGGCGAATCCAACTATGGCAAGGAGGAGCTGGTGCGTCTACTACGCTGCGATGATGTGAATGCCCAGCACAGAGCAGCCATTTCGGTGGCCTACATTGTCAAGAGCCATCGCTTGCTGTATCAGTTCCTGTACGACGGCAATGCCCTGAACCTGCTGTTTGATCTTATGCTGCGCAAGAAAAGCGATGACCACTATGCCAATGAGGCTGTGGATGCAGTCACCTCAATGGCCCGCTATACCCTGGGCATTGTTTTATCCGAAGCTGAAGCTGTAGCTGAACCTGTGGAAAGTGCGGCTGACATGTGTACGCAGAAGCTAAGTGAATCTGCGCCACTGCACGAGAAGTGCGACATGAGATTTTTGGTCAGTGGAGGGGCTACAGAGGATTCCACCCTGACCATTGGCTTCAATAAGCAGCTGCTCTGCGAGACCAGCGAGGTTTTCAACAAAATGCTCAACAGTGACTTCCGCGAGGGTCACCATGGCGAGATTCAGCTGCAGGACTACACGGCCAATGGATTGCGTTACTTTCTGCATTTAATCGTGTGCCAGAAGCGGCACCCCAACGAACCGGACTACCCGGCTCTGCTGCAGGCCTACGAGATGTCGCGCGTGTACATCATACCCGAGATGGAGGCCATACTGCAGCAGCGACTCGTCCAGTTCCTGGACGCGCACAACTGCCTGCGCCTGCTGGAGTGGGCGCTGAAGAACTACCATGCCGAGCTGACGGAAACGGCCATCAGCTACTATCTCTGCTCCTTGCTGCCGGCGCAGGAGAAGCTTCAACTCTTTCGGGCGGCCGAGGACTCCACCTATGCCACCGAATGGTTCCAGCTGCTCAACGATGCTGTTTTCGAGCGGTGTCGCAGCACTGGCTATTAGTAGACAACACCTCCATCACCACCATCACCACCTCCATCTCCATCTCCCAGTTATGTTCTGTGATCGTCATTCTTTCCGTTTTCAGCTCGATCTATTTGCCACAGCCCCGGGCCAAGTATTCCAATGTGCTACAAGTGTATATTATATTTAAAATGTATAGACTCTAAGTTTTGACCTAAATCTTCTTCTGTCTGTTGTGGGTGGACTCGTAGGTGGGCATGGCGCAGAAGCGCAGGGTTAGCCAGTCCACCAGTGGAGTGGGGCAGATCGAGAAGAGCCAGCGGTAGAAGCGATATCGACGGGGCTCCTCGATGTACAAGGCCAAAGGCTGTGAGCTGGTCAGGGCATCTTTGAATTTGGCCAGCAGCGAGTCGTTCCTGAGACGATTGGGTGGCTTGAAGCCACTCAGGACTTTCAGGTAGCCATTGAAGGCCTCGAAATAAGTGTCATACAGGGCATGTTGCTCCTGGCTGAAGGCCTCGCTCATCTTCTGAGCATGTTGCTGCTGCCTGGCTGCAATGTTGCTGTCCAGGACGAAGGATCCCGGTATGAAGTTGACCACCTCCAGGCCATACTGCTGCAGTTCCACTCGCAGGGCATCCGTCCAGAAGCGCAGGGCAGCCTTGGAGGCGGCATAGGGACCCAGGGCGGGCAGAGCCTGCAGGCCACAGTGGCTGGTCACGTTGATGATCCTACCCTGCTGCTGCCGAAGCAGGGGCAGCAGCTCACGGGTCAACCTCATGGTGCCCAGCAAGTTGCAATTGATCTGTGCCTCGATTTGCTCGGGCAACTGCCATTCGAATTCGCCAAAGCACATCACTCCTGCATTGTTTATCAGGGCTGTCAACCGGTAGCTACGATCCTTGGCCAGTATATCCCTGAGTTGCTCATGAACATGGCGTATCGAGTCGGGCTGCAATAGATCCAGTTCCAGCGTGTACATCCTAGTCAGCCCCCCATGGGATGCGCTCAAAGCCTGCAGCAGCCGGGCTCCATCCGATTTGAGATTGTGGCAGCAGGAAACCACTGTCATGTGGAGCGATTCATGGCAGTAAACGGCCATCGAGTGGCTATTTAAAGGCAGATATCAGGCTAGTTAGTTACGTCAACTGGTGCCCAGTTCAACTACCTTACCCCAGTCCCGAGTCGCAGCCCGTGATCAGCACCACATGTCGGCTATCGACCTTCAGCTGCTTCCTACCCCATCCCAACGTTCGTCCCAGGGCGCGAAGAAATTGACTGCCGCTCATATTGCCAGTTCTCGAGTAACTGAAACAAAGATCCGATTTATGCCTGCACCGAAATTAACAGATTCGAAAAAATGCAAATTAAGGCAAACCCGAAAATGAATATATACATTGTCTATACACGTACATACATACATATGTAACCATTATCAGTGGACGCATGGAGGTTTTACCTGCCCTTTAGGCTGGTTCTTAACATCGTCAAGGGGTGCCAGCCAAATAAAAAAAAATAATTGTATTATATTGTATGAAAGTCCAGAAAATCAAAGCAAGAAAATTTGCAAAAAAAATATAATAATTTTGAAATGTTATTCTTGATAAAAAAATGTTTTATTTAATTTTTATGTTTATTCAAAATAAAATACTAAAACCCAATTTCGGATTCCCCTGTCCTTGAGAACTCGAAAAAGCAGTTAACAACTATATTTCCTCTAGCTTATAAGCTAAATCAAACAACTTCAAATCTCTGGAAAAGAAAATGTAACAATCTAAACTCTGCAGACTTTGTTGGTCCACCCTAATTTACCTGCTCGGTTTACCTGACGATAAGCCGAACCATTTGCAAGTCATGTGAATCGTGATGGTGCTTCTTTTGTTTTATAAAACTAAAAATAATTGAACAATTTGGTTTTAGGTTTTTCGGTATTTTTATTTTATTTTATTTCATTTTATTTTTGTCAATTTTGGTGTTTTTATGCCCTTAGAAGTGCATTATGTTTACTATCGATCGGTTTTGGTTTTGGATATATTGATAATTTTGAATATAATCAGAGAATTTAGTGTGGAAACGGGCGAGAGTTGTTTTTACCTGATCAGCTTTCGTTAAATCGTATTTTGGGTATACATAATACATAATACATAATTACATATTAAATAATTGCTTTGCTTTTGTCATTTCTTATAAATGGTATTTGAAAATAGCGCATTTGTTGCGTTTAGTAAAAATATATTTGGGTTTTCTACTGCAGCTTACAGAGTACAATAAGTATATTTATCTCATTTCACATTTGCTTTTGCTTTTGCTCAATATAAAACTTGCTGTAACGCGATTATTGTTTAGGTTTAAACATACATATACATATATAAAGTGTTTTGCATTTCTTAATTCTCTCTCAAGGCATTGTATTTAGTTTGTATGCTGAATATATACTATATATATATATATATATACTCGTATATATATATATTAACGCGATTCGTTTAAATGTACAATTTTAAAACCGGCTTAGTTCCTTTCATTACACGCTTTTGTTTACTATTTACTGTTTAGTGTTTACTGTTTACTGCTCCTGTTTTCGCTTTCTACGTTTTGTTTTTATCTGGTATCTTTTTTGTATTCGTTTTATAATAAATATCACAACGCATCCTTCAAATCTCCACTCCCTACAATCCTTATCATTTTCCAGGCGATCTTCGTTCGTTCGCATTTGTATATTTTTTGAAAATATATAACACGCAATGAAAAGGTTTGAAAATTGCACAAATTACAAGTACATAACATATGTAGCTCGGCGTATGTAAAAGACATAGCAAAAATCATAAATTAACCATAATAAAGATAATAATACAAAAAACATTAGAGTTATAACGAAATAGAATATTCGTTACGATTACAAAAATGAAAACATCTATCTCTCCTACAACTAGCAAAATGTTTTCTTGGTTTTTCCATTTTCCATTTTCCATTTCTCTTGTTTCTTTTTTCCTTTTAGCAAGTGTAAGTATGCTACGTTCGCTACGTTTTGAATTATATCAAACTTAACTTAATCCTGACTATCCTCCGGCCCGCAACCAGCTCCTGTCCGGTTATAAGCTGACCAGCTTGGACGGCTCGGCGGTGGGCGTGGGCAGCTCCAGCGGATGCTTGTTCATGGCGGAGGTATTGGGCACCAGGGGACCCGAGACCGGAGTCAGCCCAGTGCCGCCGTCCATCAGGGATTCAAAGTTGAAGGTGCCGGTGGAGGGAGTCTGGATGGGCACTCCCTGGATCTGCGTGGGCGGTGCTCCGCCTGCCCCGCCTGCTCCTCCTCCGGCCGACTTATTGGCCATGGTCAGGTGCATGGGTCGCTGGAAGGCCAGCGTGTTGGGCCGCTCCTTGGGCACCTTGTTCAGCGCATTCAGCGTGGGACTGTTCATGCTGCCGTTTCCGCTGCCACTGCCATTTCCATTGGTTGTGATCCCCGGGAAGGCACTGCCGAATCCGCCAGGCGCCGTGCTGGTTATGGGCGTCTGCAGCGATCCCGACGAGGCACCCGTGGGCGTCATCAGCGTCGAGATGTGGACGTGCGGCATCGTGGACATGGGCGGCAAGGTGAAGCGCTTGTTGGGCGGCGGACCATCCTGGTCGAGACTGGAGCCCGAGTCCAGTGCCCCGTCCAGTGGCTCGTCCTTGATGTTCAGCAGCAAGTTGTCAATGTTGGGCGTTGGCTTGAGATCGAGCGGCGAGTTGCTGCGCCCGGTGGAGTTCAGGGTGGCGTCCAGTCCGGTGATGGTGCCGTTGCTGCTGTCATTGCTGTTGTGATTGTGATGGCTGCTCGAACCGACGCTGCCACAGCTGCCGGCACTGAGGAGTCCGGCCGGGGCAATCAGACCGTTGCAGGTGGCCACACTCAGCAGATCGGTGCGCACCTTGTTGCAGGTGGGGCGATGGGCGGCCAACAGGTACTCCAGCTGGTTCTTGCTGTTCGTCAGCTCCTCGATCTCCTTGCGCATCACGTTGCCGCGCTTCTCCAGCAGCTCCACCTCCTCGGTCAGCTCGTTGGTCTGATCAACACGCCGCTTGCGGCAACGGGCCGCCGCCTGTTTGTTCCGCTCCCGGCGCACCGCCCGCTTCTGCTCCTCCTCGGGCGTCATGTTGGCCGACCGGTTGGGCCGACGACCGCCTCCACGACGCGCCGGCGTGGCACTGTTTGAGGTATTCGCGTTGCTGCCCGTAGATCCTCTACCAGAGCCAACGGCCGCCAGGACATTGCTGAAATTGTTGGCTCCGCCGCCGTTCACACTGCCGCCCATGATGTGGCCATTCTGGTAGGAGGTGCTGTCCGTGTGGGCACTTGCTGCAGATGGTAAAGATGGGTGTACTCAGTTAGTATGTGTCCCAGAGTCCAAGAAGATCGCCAGCTCTACTTACAAGTATCGGTTGTGTCCTGCTCCTCGTTCATCTGGGTATCGTTGTAGGAGCCATTGGACTCTTCGGAATCGCTTCCTGCCACCAGACTCACGTTGTACGGCTGATGCTGCTGCTCCGGCTGCTGCTGCTGGCTGGGAATTGTGGAAATTCCGTTGCCATTGGACTCATTGGCATTCGTCGTGGCGTTTGGCAGCACCAGTGGCACTGCAAATCCAGCACAACCAGCTCCACGATCATTTTGCGTATCCGAAATAATCTGGAAAAAGGAATCCTCGATGCTGCGCGTGGTGGTGGGCGTCAGCGTGGGCGTGGTCAGCGTTAAAACACTCTGAACTGTCTCAAAGTTGCCGAGCTGCAAATAAACAAAGAACAAAGTTTATTAAATAAAAGCGAAATAGCAAACAAAGGGTATGACTCGATATACAATAATAAAACAATGGAATGGTATCCTAAAACTATAAAATATATTAAGATTTCATTACAGATTTTAAAATATATATTGTGTTGGCTTAAATGCAGTATTCAAAAGTTAATCTCTTAAAGTTTGCTTATAGATTTTTAATCATTAAAACCATTGACATCGCTTTTGTTTAAACATCAAAAGCAATTGTTAAGACTGTAAGACTAAGGCCTTTCCGTACAAATTTCTAGGAATTAGGGAACGTGTTTTTTTGGCCAACTCGTATAAAGAGAAGCAAAGAGAGGACCCAATCCATCACTTTGTTTATATTGCCCACCCCACTTTGTTGTTTCGCATTTGTTCTATTTTTGGCGATGAATAAGTACGCACATCGCTTGCCAATTGTTTCGCGCCCAATTTCCCGAATTTCGATAGGGATTTAATCATCGATATTTGCTATACCTGCTGTAGGAAAAGCTCGTTGGCGAGAAATGTGGCGATTTCAGTGGCATCCATTGCAAAATTATCGCTATTGTTGTTGTCGTTGTTCGTAGAGGTTGTTGTTGCTGCTGCTGTTGCTGTTGTTGCTGTTGTTGCTGTTGTTGTTGCTGCTGTTGTGGCATTGCATGAGGCTGCTGTCGTTGTAGCTGTCATTGGCTGTTGCTGTTGTTGCGGTTGCTGTTGTTGCTGCTGCTGCTGCTGCTGTAGTTGTTGTTGCTGTTGCTGCTGCTGTTGTTGATAATAATTAATAGGCAAGCAATTGTTGTACTCCTGTTGCTGTTGTTGACTAAAAAAATTCTGCATTTGGCACACGGCGGCCATGGCAGCCGCATTGTTGCTGTTGCCGGCGTAGGCGCTGCCAGCAACATGGCCATAATTGTTGCTGTTGCTGCTGCGCAGTGGAAAAGCATTGTGGGCAAACGATTGCCTCAGTTGCTGTTGCTCCTGATGTTGTTGTTGGTGCTGCTGGTGTTGCTGGTAGGCAGGCTGCGTGGGCAGTTGCCGTTGCTGATGACGTAACGATTGCTGATGGGATGGCTGATGTTGCTGCTGATGCAGCTGCTGTTGTTGCTGCTGATGCTGCAGCTGCTGATGTTGCTGCTGCTGCTGATGATGCTGCTGCTGCTGTTGATTATGTTGCTGCTGCGCAAAGTGCAGCGATTGATGGTAGTAGGGATGGTAGCACGCATTGTGCGTCCTACCGTTCAGATTTTTCATCATTTGTTCGTTGGTTTTTGGCCTAATCCTTAGTTATCTACTCTTAAATATTAAGTATACGCAGTGACGTTGCACGTTACGTATACGCACAGTTGGGCGGCTGACTAGTATTCGTTATATGTTAAGCCTAGCTAAGCTAACACAACAATTTGGGACAACAAAGATATATATGTATGAGCTATATATTCAAAATCAACAAAAACAAATCTATAGAACTTAGATATATGTTTAAATGTTTATATGTACAATAAAAAAAAGTCACTTTTCTCTGCAAAAATTCTTTAACAATGTGATGATCCTTTCTTGTCTTTATGTTTCCGGTTTCTCTTTGTTTGTTGGATGTTGTTGTCGCAGTGTTGTTATAGTTGCTTTAAAATTCGTTCGTTTTTTGGCTTTATATTATTGCTTATATATTTCGTTGTATTTCTGCGTTGGCTTTTTTATGTTTTAAAAAAGGTTCGTTTGTTTTTGTGCTTAGCTGCGAGCAGAGTTCGTCTATATATTCGTTGTTCGATTGCTCAGTTCTTGTGGTTTCTGCTCTCCGGCGGTCTCAGTCGCTTAACGATAAGCGTTTGCTGATTTCGCAAAGGATTGAAATGTATATTCCGATCGGCGAAAGCGCTCATAATCAACGCAATGTATCGTAAGTGTGCGAGGCTTAAAATCTAATGACACGTGTCCAGTTCAGTTTGGTTCACTGCTCTCAGGGCCGCAATAAATAACACAAATTGGATTATATAATTATACAGATTTGTGGCAGAAAGAGAGAGAGAGAGGGCGAGAGGCGGCGAGAGTGAGAGGGCTTGAGCCTTGAGCTAGTTCAATTAATGTTGCATTCATATAGTATTCATGCGTATTTCTTATTTTTTTTTCCTTGGCCACGGGCAACGCCTCTCAAAGTTATTCCTCCCTTTTTCGCTTTTATTTCTAAGTTTAGCAATATATATAATTAAACATATATATATATATATATATATATGTATATTTCGATCCACGCGGCATGCAACTGAGAAATGTGCGTCGTTTTTTGCGTTGTTTCCTTCCCGCGTCTATATATTTCTCCTTAGCTCGATTCGTTGTTTCAGTTGTTTCAGTTTCTGATTCGTTTTGGCAATGCACGCGCGCTAAAAACAAAACGACACTTGCAATTTTCCAAATTTATTTTCGTTTCGTTGTTCGAGATTCGAGGTTCGAGAAAAAAGCGCGCGCGCGATCGCTTTTAATTGTTAGATATTTTCTAAACTTCGATGGTTCGTTGTTCGTTTGCGACTGAATCCGATTCCGGCGAGCGAAATTGGCAACGATCGAGATCGCAAGACCGCGAGATCGCTGGGATATATGAGATATACTCTATATGTACATATCTAGAGAACCCGGAGAGCTGTCTTTTGGGTGTGTGCCTCGCCTCGGGCCGCGAGCTGTTTGCTCAAATTAGAAGACAACCACTGGGAAAATCAAATAATTTTAAACGCTGCCTGCTCTTAATTGAGCGGCTGCCCACACGACGACCACGCTCGCCAGCCATACTTTTATAGCAGAATACTATACATATAGTTATAGCGCTTGGCATATATGCATCTCTGCTCGCGTGTGGGTTAGTTCCGATTTGCCGATTTTACAGCAGCTCTTTCCATCCACCAAAAAAAAAAAAAAAAAAAACGCCTTTCATTCGCCCATAAATTAACAACGGCGGCTAAGCCACAACCACAACAACTCAATGTTTCGGCGAAATCATTTGGCAAAAGTTATGGTCCCGAATATGTGAAAATGTATATTTATAGTGCAAACTATACACACTATACCCCATACACCAAACACCCGATCCCATCTGACAGATGTCCACCGAACAGGTGTGTGCGTGTGGGACATTAACAATAACTAACTTTTCAGACCCCCTGTCTCGCCGAGTGTTTATTTCCGTCGCCAGCAAGTTGGCCAATACGCTAATTGCTAGCTTTTGTTGTGGGCTAAAAAAATTACATATATTAGATGCACCGAAAGAAATGTATCGTTAAAAAAAATAAGAAGATAAGGCAAAAAATCTAGAGCTTAATAAAGAGATAATTAAATATTACCTAGAACTTACTGCTCTTTGTAAAAATCTTAAGATGTTTTTACCTTGTTTTTACCACCATCATATAAATTTAAATACAATATTATTTATCCAAAGGGTCTTAGCATTTTCTTTCTGTGCAGGGTGTTGCTGATTGTATGCTTATTTATTTGACGATCTTATCGCAGCCGCGTTTCCCAATCCCAAAGGCCGTTCCCTTATTGACAACAAACAATCGATTTTATTCTTTGTACGCGCTTTTTATATATTTATTTTTTGTTGGAATTTACTTTCAAGTCTCCCGCCTGATACTTTTGGTGTTTAAACTTTAAACACCTTCGCCACATTGTTTTCGGGGACGGGCACTTTCGTTTTAACCCACTTTCCACACCAAATTTGCCTTTTGAACTTATTCCCCCGGCAGACAAATGAACCATATTTAGCCGATGAATCAGTCAATTTAAGAAAAGTTCGTCTACATGCAAAACAAGTGATAATAAAAATAACAATAACACGAAAGCGAACTACTGGCAATCAAGAGCCGCGAATTGAATTGTCTAAATTGAAGCCAGCTCAGCGGCAATGGCAATGTCGGCTGGTGATCTCCCTTATCACAGGAGGAGCGGCCTTTGCTGCGAGTTCACATCTGTGGGTCAATTACAAACCAAATGAAACCAGCAGCGAGCAGCGAACAGCTAGCGGTGGACACAAAAACACTGACGTAGTCAGCGGAAAAACGCAAATTGCTGACTAATACAGAGGGACTGCAGTAAATTCGATTATAAGGCGGCCCAAAATGCAACTAAATTGGTCTACATTTGAGGCAAATATAAATATAAGTGCTTTTCTTTAAATAGTTTTAATCTTTTTTATATATTAAAATTCCATTTCCAAGAAACAAAAAGATTAAACTTATAATGTTTTTTAATGAAATTCGTGGAATTGTTTAATCTATGTTTTAAAAATGTCCCAGTTTTATGATTAAATGTCATGACCTTAAGCACGAAATTCTTAGAAAACTATTTCTCCGCTTGTCCTAATCAATTCCCTGAAATCCGTGCTGGCTTTGTGATTTGCATTTCACCTACGACCTTGACTCTAATTAGTTCAAAATCGTATTCGCCGCAAAAAAAAAACAGTTTTCAAGAGGGAAGAGAAGTGAAGGAGCAACAAGTTGAGTGCTAAAGAAATTCTCGGGCCCGAGACTTTGCCTTCTGTTTCAGCTGACGTGTTGGGCTATTTTTAAGCCAATTTTAGCCTGACAATGACGTAATGACGGCAAAAAAAAAAAAAACACTTGGCATCATCAGAGGCAAAAACAAAACGAAAACAGGCGACGACAATTTGTATTGTTTATATCAAAAGTGGCTAATAATTGTTAGCAGCGAGAAAAACAAAGGCTAACAGCCCGAGTTAACATAGACCCGCCCGTATTAGCCAAATGTTAACTTACAGTTGCCAACTTAAAACTCGGAATTCAAACTAATTTTGCGCCTTTGTTTAAACGCTTTAGTTGCTGTTGCTGCCGCCGCAGTGGCATAAATTAGTTGGCAAGCTTGCTAAATACAAAAATTGCATGCTGAAGGTCGACGTTTGTTTAGTTTGAAATGCGCATAATTATCAGAAAAATATAATACAATTTTGATTTTTCAATTGGCAAAGACTTGAATAAACTGCAGCTCCAGCATTGTTTCGTTCAAAGTTGCTGCAATGTCACAACGAAAAAAATAAAAGCGAGAATTGAAAAGTTGACAAGTTCAAGTGCGGCGTCTTCAGCTTGATGGGTTATGCACATAGAAAAACAATTATGGGTTTCTTTTAGTTTGAACACATTTAATAAAAAATAATTTATACCCAAATACCTAAAAAATATGTTTTGTCAACGATTTATTTCAAACTTCTTCTTTTTTAAAAGCCTCTTGTACAAAAAAAAATTAGGAAATAACATTTTATGAACATTCGTTTGCGGTATTTTATTTTAATATTTTTTTAGATTTAATGTTACTAGTTAATATTATATGATACAAATTTAAGCCCTGGGCAATATGCAGATACCAAAATTTATTTATACAAATTGAATATGAAAATACTATATCAGTCCTGTTGTAACTAGGAAATGTCTATATATAATTATTAAACACTTATTAATTAGAAAATGCCTAAATTTAAATATAAAACACATATTAAAAAGAAAAATCAAATCCAAAACAATTGTATTTATATTCTGAGCATATTAAACCTTGACCGTCTTCACAAAATGATTTATTTTCTGTGCACCTACAACATTGCGATTGCAGTTGGCTACCGCACTTCCCTTGACGATAAGCATAATTCCAGATATGAATTTTTGCAAGTCTCTTGTATGAATTGCATTTGAATGCAAATTCTGCGAATAAAACAATTAACGCAAAGGAGAAGCAGAAATCATATTTTCGTAGTGATACTCCGTTGATGTTTTTGTTGTTTTGTTTTATTTCATTTTATTAATGCTGCTATATTTTTTTTTTTCGCTGGCAAGGAGAACGTGACCGCAATGCCCAAGCGGAATGGCCACGCCGATCGGCGTGTTGACTGTGCTAAGTGCCGGCTGGCGGTTAAGCTTGATAAAGCCCAATTTCCCCGCCCCTTTCCGCTGGCTTTTCCCTCGTCTAAAGAATTTTGGAGTGGCCCAGAGTCAACGGCCGGCAGAAAGTCGACAAAAGTCGCATCTACATCGACATTCACATCCAAATCCACACGGTTTGCCGGCCTTTTTTAGGCACGCAAAACAAAAACAGAGAAGCCCCTTATGTAACCAACATTTATGCAAAGTATATACATATTTGTTTATATGTATAATGTACACAGAAAGCAGCGCCGTCATTAAAATCACTTGACGTTTGTCCATTTTCGGAACGCCCACACAAACGAAATTGAATTAAAGTTTAACATTTTTTTTTTGTTTTTGCTGGCTGGCTGGCTGGCAACAGCCATAATTCAAAATTTGCCAAAAAGTGCAAAACGCCTGGCAAATAAATTTGCAGCCGCTTTCAGGATTCCCTGGAGTCGTTTGGGGCTTTAAGTTCAGTGTCAAATTAATCAGACTTTTGTTCCGAGGGCGTGGACAAGGGAAAAAACAAATTTGCATGAGATATTAAAAAAAAAAAAAAACGTAAAGAAAGAGCGAAAATATTTATGTTCTGACGTTTAAGGAGGGCATTGAACCATGCATTTTATTTACCTGGGTTGGGTTGCCATTAATCGATAGCACATTTCTCAATGCACTTTGGTCATTAAGCCATAATTAAGCTGATTTGGCCAACTAAAGTGGGCATTCGATATATGCGCAAACGTGCAGAGCAGCTAATAAAATGACGCGACACTGGTCTGGGAATAATTTATTTAAATGCATTTTGTCGCGACAACAAAAAAAAGGGAAAAAAAACGAAACGGGGGTGGCAGGGGCCATCGAATTTATGGCAAAGTTTGCAGTTCGAGGAAATGGCAAACAAACGACGCGTCTTTCGGGCGCCAGAAAGGACAACACAATAAAAACTACAAAAAGGACACCAATGCAACCTAGACTGAGGGGAGGAGGGGAGGGGAGAGGAGAGGGGAGAAAGACAGGACCTGCCAAGCGGAGACAGTAGTAAAAGTTGTTTTCACTTTTCATTCGGGGCGTTTTGGCCAATTCGCAGAAGGACGTGACCGCAGCCATCAAAAGCCAGGACATTTGCCAACACGAAATTACCCATGGCAGCAGGAGAAAATAAAAAAGGAAAAAAATACATGATATATATATATATTAGAGAACAGGGAAAACCCTTAGCAAAGGACTTCAATTACAGGGCAAACTCAATCGCTTCGCCTGTCAAATTATCTGCACCGAACTTTCTTGGCACTGCTATGAAACGATAAAGTAATGCCAAATTGCATTGGATTCATTAAGAAGCAACTCAATTAAATTGACTGGAAATGCAATTAAGTGCGCTCACAACTCGTAGACATATTTAATATTAAATTTGATCTTAATTGAATGCAGTCTTGTTTCATGCTCCATGGACATGGCATGATCAGTAGATACACATATACACACATATACATATCTATATGTTTTTAAGCAAAGAGAGTTATTTTTTAGGCCAGTTCTAGAGGGTGTAGGCAGCAGTAGACAAAGGAAAGTTATTGTCTGTCCTCGAAATTCCCCCGAATAAACGCTTTCAAGTGATTGCTTTCA